AAATGTGTGAAGCTTTAATAAACTTCCCCCTACCATGTGTTCACACCAGCCCAGTCTTGATTCACTGTTAAAAATTCTCTGCTTTTGGCCTAGTAGAGCATTCAATGAATATTGGTCAAGTGAATGAATGAATGAATGGTATTTCGGATGCTAATGCTACTCCTAGACATTGGTTAAGATGCCTTGGCCCTTCAAAATCAGTAACGTGGTCTTTTTACACAGCATGTGCTCTTAAAAATCTGTTCTATATGCATGTGTTAGGGCCACTTGTTTTCTAAACGGTTTTGTTTCTGTAGTCAATTGGGCATAGGAATTTTATATGTGGGGAGTTAGTATACACACACACACACACACACACACACAGATATATGTCTGTTTTCATTGGCCTATTTATTCATTGGATGAAATTGTTGCAGAAACTATTTGTAACTATTCAGTAAGGTCTCCATATGTTTCAGTTCTCGCAGTTAGTGTTAAACATTTGAATCAATACAACCTAGTGATAGCAGCAAGATCACGAACCTTCACACTCTTCTGCCATATTCCATTGGTTTTACATCTTGAACTGTTTGTGAGTGGAGGCTGATCTTTGCCTTGGGGCTCTAGACTGCCAGGTTGACGCAGCTCAACACACTTTAGACACCTGAGCACCCTCAGCATGAACACTTAATGCTTTAGCACAGACCCTGTGGCCTTCGGCTTACACAGTGTGACTACAGGGAAACCTAGTTCCTGTTTCGATGTGTTTGTTACGTAGCATGTCCTTTCCAATCTCTGTAACCTTTCAGGGGTCCGTTTTCTTTGTTGTAAAATGGCAGGCTTGGAAGAGAAGGCTCAAAAGCCCTTTGCATGTCAGCCCAGGGAAATAGAAAGACCACACCTGGGAACCGACTCTAACTCTTACCACCCTGTAAGCCTGAGGCTCAGCTGCTGTCCCTGGAGAACGGGAAACACAATCGTGGCTATTCTGAGGGTCAGGGGCAAGTGCTTTGTAAGTGGAATTGTGGTGGGCAGTGGGAGGGATTCTGGGGTTCAGTGTCATGCTAGTTGTGTAACTGGGAAATGGAACCGCGTAAGTGTCAGGAAACCCTCAGTAAGACTGAGCCAAAGGCCAATAAGAAGCCAGCATTTACATGATGTTCTTTTCCTTTTTGTAACCAGGAAATTTCAATTTGCACACTGATTTGGCCCACCATTGCTGGAGAGATCTCGTGGGACGTGTCTTTTGTTACTTTGAACTTCTTGGTGCCAGGACTGGTCATTGTGATCAGTTACTCCAAAATTTTACAGGTATGTTTGTTTCAAGTGCTACCACTGAACTTCACTCAGACTTGGGGTTATTTCTGCTAGAATCTTAGAATATGGGGTCGGAGAACACCTAAGACTTCACGCTCAATCTTGATTCACTGCCCAGGTCTACAGCACTGAGGAAGGAGAGGGTGTTTTTTTTAAAGTTATATCTTTGTGATTATGTTTTTGCTCATCACTAAAGTAATACCAGGTCATTACAAAAAATTAAATTAAAATGAAAGAGACACATAAATGTAAATAACACAGAAACTGAAAACTTGCTCTACCTTCTTAACAACTCAAGATGTATTTTTTCAGGTTATTTTTCTTACAAGCTTATGTATGTGTCTTGTATACTGTGTGTGTATTTGATGAACCACATGAAATTGCAGGTTCAAATGGTCAAACGGTTATCTGGCACTGTTCAATGTTCTTTTCGGATATGAGATAATACTCTCTGCTCTGTAACTCCTTTTTTTCACTTAACATTATATCTTAACATCTTTCTACATCATTCCTATATCTCTAGCTCATTATTTTTAGTGGCTACAGATGTGACTTCTTTTATTTTATGGTCTTTTGGGCTGTGTCCATTGTTTCCCCATCGCAAACACTGCAATACTGGAGAATGCATACATTTTAAAACATTTTATTGAAGTATTATACACATATATAAAAAGCACACTAAGCATAGGTATAGGCTCTAACTGAGTGCATTCATGAAAGCAGCTCCCAGGTCAAGAAACGGAATATTACCAGAAGTCCCTCCTATTATCTTCCAGTCGCTACTCCACCCACCCCCAGGGAATGTCCATTTCAAATGTGCACTGAAACAGGAAATGATCTCTACCTTCAAAACAAATATGTACAGGGACATAAAAAGGACGAGTCAGCCTGTTTTATATCTCTTAAGGCAGCCCATTTGTGAGTAAGTTGCCTGCCCAGGCAAACAGCATGGGTGCATTCATGTTTATGCCCATTTTAGAAGGTTTACTGCAAAGCCCTTGAACCCTCGTGGAGGTTTATAGTTGTTGAATCTTGGTTTTACAGTGTCTCATGTGTGGGTCATCTGGCAAGTAGGCACATTGAAGCAGTGCCCTGTAGGGCCTGCTCACCGTCTGGTCACTTTTATGGCCCTTTCTTTGCACCTGAGGGTCTGTAACCTTCTTAGATGCTCAGAACCCATAGCCAGGCCAACCTCCATCCAGGTCTGCTAATCCCTGGGTCCTGTGGGACATGGCCCCTCCATGTCACTCATGAGACTCTTGCCCACCCAATGACCACTAAAGTGACACCCAGCCTGGGGCTTGTTCAAGTGCAGGAGGTAGATTCAGGCCTGGAGTTAAGGTCTGGACAGTGCTTGCGATGGGACCAGGCATATGATAGTGCTATATAAGTGTTAGCTATTATCATTAAGTTAAAAGGAGAGAAAAAAGAAGATAAATGTAGAACTTTGTGAGAGAAAAAGGAAGATAAATGTAGAACTTATTTAACAAATATTTACATAGTGTTGATCCTATGCCAGGAACTAACTCTTTAATTCTAATAAGAATAACAGATGAAGAAACCCAGGCAGAGGGAGGTTAAGTAACTTAAGTTACCTAAGGTAACACAGCTTGTAAGTGGCAATCAGGATTTAAATTCAGGCAGTCTGACCCTAGAGTCCCAATGCATTAATTCCTCAGACATGTGTTAAGGGCCTGCCCTGTGCACAGTGCTTGGGGGAAAGGAGGTGGGCTAAAACTGAGCAAGACACATTCTCTATCCAGAAGGACCTTTGACATAGAAGGGGAAGAGGGAGGAGACAAACAAGGATGCTGATATTGAAAGCACAGAAACTGAACACAAGGTGGAAGATACTGAGACTTTGCAAACACTTTGCAAACTGTTAAATGCTACACAAACGTAAGGGACGAATAAGGGGTATAAGAAAGAAGAGCAGGCCAGGTGTGGTGGCTCATGCCTGTAATCCCAGCACTTTGGGAGGCCGAGGTCGGCGGATCACCTGGGGTCAGGAGTTCAAGGCCAGCCTTGCCAACATGGTGAAAGCCCGTCTCTACTAATAATGCAAAATTCAGCCTGGCGTAGTGGTGGGCGCCTGTAATCCCAGCTACTGTGGAGGCTGAGGCAGGAGAATCGCTTGAACCCAGGAGGAGGAGGTTGCAGTGAGCTGAGATTGCACCACTGCACTCCAGTCTGGGCAACAAAGTGAGACTCTGTCTCAAAAAAAAAGCAAAAGGCCATGAAGACAGACAAAGAGACTTGACGGTGTTATTTTAACAATCTGGGTTTGAGTCTTGAATCTGCCACTTACTTGCTGTGTGGCCTTGGCCAGGTTAGTTACCATCCCTGAGCCTCGGTTTCCTCATCTGCAAAATAGTAAACATAATGCCAGCAGTGTAGAGGTGTCATAAGGCATATAGGAGATGCTACTGATGGGACAGAGAGAGCCATGCCTGCCTGTCGCAGGCGATGAATAAATTATGACGGTCGTGATTTGTTAGGCAAGGCTGCTCTTCCCACCCTTGTCTCAGAGCATGCTGGGAAAAGGTGCTGCTAAGATTTGCAAGAGAATAAACAACAGCCCAGATTTGGAGCACATCAGGAACAAGGAATTGACGCTAGAGCAGGGCTGGCTGGAAGGGGCGGCAGCATTTGATCTCCTTCCTGGAGGTCTCACTCCTGAGTTCCTTAGGGGCCAAGAGGGCTGTGGTCTGCCCCTTTTCACTCGTACCTCACGCTTCTCAGCTGCCTGCTGAGGGAGGAATGATTTTCCACCCACCCCCATCTTTTTCTCAAGGCCAGGGTCTACCTGGAAAAATTCTATGAGACCTGAGGAGTTGGGGCAGGTGTCCTCTTAGCAACCCACCTCTAAACAGCAGTTTACTCTTGAAGCACCTTATGTCTAAACCCACAGCCAACCTTCACTTCTCCCCATCACAGACCTCAGAACAGCTCCTGGATGCAAGAGCTGTCATGACTCACAGTGCAGTGAAAGGGCACTCTGAGTAACAGAGTAACAGGTCAAATATATAATTTACATTCTATCACCATCCTCACCTTAATGCCCTGTGTGGTCTGGCCCTGCTGCCTTTCTCACCTTCATATTTCACCCTCCCTTGTGTCCACATTGGCCTTGAGGCTGTACTGTGCACTTCTGTCCCAGGGCCTTTGCACCTGCCACTTGTTCTCCTGGATCTGTCTTCTCCAGATTTCTGCATGGGCCACTTCCCCACTTCATTTAGTCTTTACTCAAAAAGTTCTTCACCAAAAAGTCTCCCCATGAATCTCCAATTCCTTATCCTGATTTATTTCTCTTCAAACACTTACTACACCTGTCATATTCCATTTATGACAGTCATCTGTCTTGCCCACTACAATGCAAGCTCCATGAGAGCAGAGGTTTTGGTTTGTTCACTGCTATATTCCTATGCCTAGATCAGAGCCTGACTCATTCATTGTAGGTGCTCAATAAATATTTGTTGAATGAATGAGGCATAAGCCTTGGATCACATTGAAAGGGTCTATAGGGTAGTCTCTTCTTGGACAGTGGGACAATCACTGAACAGAAAGTCCTAAGACAGGAGTTCTAATCTAGGCTGTATCACTATGTGACCTTGGGCAAGTCACTTAAGTAATGTGATCCTCAGTTTCTGCAGGAGCCAAATATGCCTCTGGATTAACACAATAAAATGAAAGAGCAGATATAATAATGTTTTAAAAATCACAATTTTAATCCAAATATCACTTAAAAATTACTTTCCACCTTATTAGCAAAATTCACTGTTGCCCATTTCCCAGGAGGACTATGACATTTGTCCTTGCTTGGTACCATGAGTTTGCCAGGCTGATAACTTGGAAGCAGGCAATCTATACCAGGTGGATGGAGTGTCTGGGCAGGGCCTCAGTTTGCAGCTCCTCCTCTGTGAAGATATACTTAACTCAGAGATACTGAGTCAGCTTTTCTGTACAAGCTTTTTCTGTGAAGCTTGGTTTTACATAACTCTGTAAAATAAATTGAACATCAGTGTTAATTAGGCATAATAACAGACAATTCACAAATTGTTTGAAGCCATGGGATACATAACTACAGCCCTTCCAGTCCCACTTCTCACCTGTCACTAGCTCCTGTAACCCAGGTCTCATCTCCAGGCTTGAGAAGTGTCTCTTTTTCACATCACCCTGGTCTTCTATTGCTCTAAAGCAGTATGTCTTCTAGAATGTTCTGTAGAGTGCCATGGGAATGTTAGGTGTTAGAAAGGGTTTGGGAAATGCTGGGATAGGCTAGATGGGATTCTTTGCTGCAGGACTTCACAGAATGTTTATTATGCCAATATACTTTGAGGATCTCTCACACAGTAATAGACCAGGTATCATTGCTAAACGTGACTACAGAACCCCCTTTTCTCCACAGAGCATCTGTCTGCGCTGGTGCTCCATGGAATGCCTTTTTGGAAACCCTGCTCTAAAGTCTCCACCCTCCTTCCTGGTTCTGACCTGGGCAAGAATTCAAAGCAGGCTTCGCCCTGGCTCTTTCCCTACTGGCCACCCTTCAGGGGCTGCTTCATGTGCTTGAGGCAGTGGCCTTATTCACCCTTCTGCCCTCCCTGCTTCCTCTTTCCTTGTTACTCAGACACACCATACATCTTCAGTGATTTTTTCCAATCAACAGTTTTCCCAAGGGAATAACCTCCCAGCAACTCCTAAGTGCCTTCAGATCAGGTTGTAACCACTGTTTGGGGCTTGCTTGACGTCATCGCCCAGCAACTGTTGCCATGGCAACTGAGATGCCTCTACCCTTTTGTAACAGTAGATGTTTATTGATCCCCCTCTCATTGCCCACATAGGCACCAGAATGGAAGAGCAGCGTGGGCGGAGCTGCCTTGCTTATTGCTGTGTGTCCAGCACCTATGAGTGCTTAGCACATAGCAGGAGCTTATAAATATTTGTCGAATAAGTGAGTCTGTGGCTTGCAGATGGAAAACCCTCAGCCTGTCTCAGGGCTTAACTGAGAAACAAAATCTGTTTCTGCAGAACACGAGACGTTAGACAGTGAACACAAAGCCCTTTCTCCACGCCTGGCCTGCATTCCCCAGCTTTGGGGGCCTGAATGCTGGTCACGAAAAGGGAGGTGGAGTCTCTGGAAAGATGGAATCTTCCATCCAGTGATTCTAAATGGGAGGCTGTTGATTGACCAAGCAGCCCCCAGAGGAGACTCAACCTTCAGGGGCCCAACGTTGTCAGTAGGAACACCCTCTACCCATCCCCACATGTTGGCAGCAGTGGTCTGCTGGCATGGGGTGGCAGAAGGGTGTGAGGTGGGGTGGAGGCTCCCCACCATCTTCAGAAGTTCATGTGAGTGTGGAGGCAGTGAGTCTCAAAAAGGTCTCTCTTCAAAGGACTGGGGGGAACTTGAGACGGAGCCTGTTGTCCTAGATGAGCAGCTGCAACACTTTCGTGGGCAAGAATCACCTGGGGAGTTTAGGAAACTTGCAGATTTCTGGGCCCCACCCAGCCCCACACAATCCGAATGTCTGAAGGGGCCCCCAGCGTTTGCATTTCATCATGTACCCAGTGGCCGTGGACCACATTCCCCAGAAGCTGTCCGCCTCTGCTGAGGCGCTGTGCCTCAGCGGAGAAGAGCACTGGCACCTGGCATGGGGTACACTCCTCTACTTCACCGTGAGGCCGCAAGCAAGTCAATTCCCTTCTCAGGGCCTCTGAGTTCCAAAACGGCGGCAACCGCAGAACCTATCCCAGAGGCTTGTTCTGAGGATTAGGATTAATCCTTGAAAGTTAATTGAGCATTTAGTTTAATCCAAAAGCACATCAAGCTTTCTGCCCAATGCAGGAGACATTTGCAATCCTGGATCAATGTTAACTATCCTTGACATCTAGCATGGGGAGAGGAGGAGGAGAGGAGCCACATCTGGTTATAGAGCCCCATTTTCTTCCTCACCCCCTACCAGCGGTGGGAACTGTGGAGAGAAGGAGACAGTAGCATCTGTCAGTGCTAAAAAAGATCCAGGCCGGGCGTGGTAACTCACACTTGTAACTCCAGCACTTTGGGTGGCCGAGGCAGGCGAATCACCTGAGGTTGGGAGGTCAAGACCAGCCTGACCAACATGGAGAAACTCCATCTCTACTAAAAATACAAAATTAGCTGGGTGTGGTGGTGCACGCCTGTAATCCCAGCTACTCGGGAGGCTGAGGCAGGAGAATCGCTTGAACTGGGAGGCGGAGGTTGCAGTGAACCGAGATCCCACCATTGCTCTCCAGCCTGGGCAACAAGAATGAAACTCCGTCTCAAAAATACTTAATTAATTAATTAATTAATTTTAAAAAACCCCATCCACTTTTGCACTTGGCCCATGAGTCAGCCCAGTTTGTTTGTCTGTCACCCACAGCCATTGTCAGGCCCCTGCTAGGGCTCTGGGCCGCAGAAGACACAGGCGTGCCTTGCTTCAGCTCCCATCCCCCAAGGAACCGGCAGTCGGGTGGGGGTCTGTGTTGGTCTGTTCTCACACTGCTTTAAAGAACTGCCTGAGACTGGGTAATTCATACAGAAAATTTACAGCTTTCGTTGACTCAGTTCCACATGGCTGGGGAGGCCTCAGGAAACTTGCAATCACGGCAGAAGGGGAAGCAAGGACCTTCTTTGCATGATGGCAGGAGAGAGAAGAGAGTGAGCAGGAGCAGGGAAAACTCTTATCAAACCATCAGATCTCATGAGAACTCATTCACTATCACAAGAACAGCGTGGTGGCCGGGCGCGGTGGCTCAAGCCTGTAATCCCAGCACTTTGGGAGGCCGAGACAGGCGGATCACGAGGTCAGGAGATCGAGACCATCCTGGCTAACACGGTGAAACCCCGTCTCTATTAAGAAATACAAAAAACTAGCCGGGCGAGGTGGCGGGCGCCTGTAGTCCCAGCTACTCGGGAGGCTGAGGCCGGAGAATGGCGTAAACCCGGGAGGCGGAGCTTGCAGTGAGCTGAGATCCGGCCACTGCACTCCAGCCTGGGTGACAGAGCGAGACTCCGTCTCAAAAAAAAAAAAAAAAAAAAAAAAAAAAACAAGAACAGCGTGGGGGAAACTGCCCCCATGATCCTAACACCTCTCACCTGGTCCCTCCCTCCACACGTGGGGATTACGGGAATTACAATTCAAGATAAGATTTGGGTAGGGACACAGATCCAAACCGTATTCGGGTCAGAGGTAAGAAGGACGCCTGGACATCTACCACATAGTGTATGTGGCAAGTGTCGCATGAGTGCCTGAAACACAATGCTGCAGGATGCCAGGCGGGAGATGAAACACGAATCCTTCTCAGAGTTCCTGGCATTAGCGTTTGGAGTTAAAGGCTGGGCAGAAGCATTCCCACAGGCGGAAATAGTAGAGAGTGGGAAAGAACTAGTTTATGATAAAGAGAATGGGCTGGCGTCAGGCTGCCAAGTTGGCAGTCCACCTCTGCAACTTCTTAGCTGAGTACTGCTGGGCAAGTTTGGTAAGCTCTTTGAGCCTCAGCTTCCTCATTTGTAAAATGGGGATCATCACAGCACATATGTCACAGAATTGTTGGGAGAATTTAAAAAGGTAAACTAAGTGATAGGTAAGGGCCTGGCACATAGTAGGTGCTCCATAAATGTGAGCCTTAATCAACATCACTCATCAAAAAGTATTTTTGTGACACTACACCAGGGACCCTGGGTACATCGTTGCCCTTCTTAGGATGGTGTGGGTAGCAAGAGGGACGAAGTTGCCGTCAGAATCAGCCCTTGTGGGCCCCCAGCCTGTGCTTAGGCCTCAAGCGACACCCCTACTCAGAGGCGGTGCCAGTTCCTCCGCAGCCCGCCCACCTGACACCCTGCCCAGCTGAGATTCTCCTAGATCTGACAGCCAAGGCAGGTTCCTGAGATTAACCAGGTTTCACCTGAACACAAGTTCTAACTTTGATTCTACATAGTGATTTCCAGACTTGGATGTGCCAGTATAGCCTCCAGCATTTGAGCCCGAGGTGGTGCCCTGTGTCTCCTGAGCAACCTTCACCCTGCAGAGCCATCGAAGGGAGGGGAGGGCTGAATAGTGTGGCCATCCCTTTTGAGCCTTTTGTAATTTGTCTCATATTTAATCCCACTGAGCTAGATTTTCAGAGATGGGGGCTCTGACCCTGTATTATCAGTGGAGTGACCTTCCACACGCTTCTTAAATTTCTTGAAATTCAATTTCCTCATCTGGGAAGTGGGAACAATGATAGTGCAAATCTAAAGAGTAGGTGTGAAGATTAAATGTGACGATTGAGAATCAAATGTGCGGCACAGTGCCGGTCACATGGAAGCCCTCAGTAAGGCTAGAGGTCCGTATGACTGTGAGGCTGTTCACTCAGCATCTGTTGCCCTGGTCTCCACTATCAACAAGTGGACCTAAACTCCTGCACAGAGCAAGCAGCCACATTGAATCATAAAACAAACAACTATCCTTTAATTAGCTAGTTACAAGTTGTTTTTTTTTTTTTTTTTTTTTTTTGAGACAGGGCCTCACTCTGTCACCCAGGCTGGAGTGCAGTGGCGCAATCTCGACTCACTGCAACCTCCACCTCCTGGGTTCAAGCGATTCTCATGCTTCAGCCTCCTGAGTAGTTGGGATTACAGGCGCCCACCACCATGCCCAGCTCATTTTTGTATATTTGTAGTAGATACAGGGTTTCACCATGTTGCCAGGGTTGTCTCGAACCCCTGACCTCAGGTGATCTGCCTGCCTCAGCCTCCCAAAGTGCTGGGATTCGAGCCATGAGCCACCATGCCCGGCCTAGTTACAAGTATTCTAACGGGAATATTTTCAGCCATTCTGATCTTGCAGTTAAACTGGCCTGAACTGTGAATGATGTTAATTACCTTCTAATTACTCCCCGTCTTGAGATTCAGGAGTCTTGGGGGACACCTGTAGGATCTCCTGAAAGAAGAGTCCAGAATCCCCTTCTAAGCCCACATAACCAGGGCTGCCTTCATTGCCTGCCATGCCTCTGCTTCACTGCCAGCCCTGCTCATTAATACAAAATATTAGAGGTCCCAGCAGCTCCACTTGGTAGGAATTTATTCTACCGATATGCTCACCTAGGTGTGCAAGGATATGCATGAGGAGGCTCATTCCCCCAGTTGCCACCTCTCAACAGCGGACATAAATATAAAATGGTCATTTTCCACAAACATCACCAGCAGTGCTCTGACCAGCTCCTCTGTCTTGCTGGGACAGGGGCACCTTTAATGACACCTGTGTCTGATTTACAGCGCTTTCCAGTCACTTTTTGGTTATTTACAATGTCAGTCTCACAGTCAGTTCAAAGCTTCCCCTGCCCGAGGCATAGGATGTGGGTGTGTGGTGCTGGAGCTGGGAGGAAGACAGAGAAGGAGGATGGGCTGCCCTGCCAGTGGTCTGGTCTCCCACAAAGACAAGGAACTTGCATGATTGCCCATATGAGGTGGTTGCCCCCTCTGTTGGTCATTGCCTCTGATTTCCCTGTGTCTGGTGGTGGTGCCAACAGGCCCTGCTGTTGAGGGGATCATTCCCAAGCAGCACCCACTCCAACCCATGGGCGGGCCCTTCCCACACCCACTCCCAAGAGGTATGGGAAGACCCTTCCCACACTCTCAGCTTCATTTTCAGGTTGGCTCCTGACAGCAGCTGCTCCAGCAAATGAGCAGCCTCTGATCACTTCATCCTTCCTTACCCCCTGACTCCGGGGC